AAAAAAAATCATTATTATTATTATAGATAAGACTGATGGAATATAAGATTTGTGATTAACAGACTCAATCTATTAAGATAGCTCTTTAACTACATTAGAATTTTTTAATTTTGTTGAAAAAGCTTAAAAGGAAAATGCCTTGTTGTAAGGCACTACTTTTGCATATTGAATTTTTTTATTTTGAAATTTTATTTATTTATTATTAAAAAAAAAGAAAAAAAAAAACAAAAAAAAAACTTTTTGTAGGAGGTTGATTTTGGTAAATCCCTTTCATAGAAGTTGAAATTAACTCAAAAAAAATAATCAGAAGACATCTAGAATAGATTATCATTTCATCCTAGCAGTAGGAGTAAATTATTCTTTATTGTTATAGACAAATAAAGAGGACTATATCGGCGCCTGGGCTGTCAACCCATTGTTTGTGAAGGTGCACCACCAAAGCCTTAACCTTGGGTTGAGGAATGGTCATGGTAACCCAATAAGTTGTTGGTGTCTCATAAAATTTTAATTTTATTTTTAAAATATTAATTTTATTTAATTTGATTATTAAAAATAATTAATAATTATAATTATTAATTTACAAATTATAAAATAATTAATATTTATTAATTATAATTTAAAATTAATTTACACATTAATATTTTTGAATATTATAATTGTAATTGACTGTTTACAAAACAAAAATTGTGTAATCCTAATAATTTATTACGTGCCGTTAACCACTTCCTTCACTTCGGTTCAAATTACCCTTCCTCATAAATTGTAATGTTCAAAAAAAAGAAAAAGAAAAAGAGGAGAATATATCCATTGCTTTGTTGCTAATCTAATCTAATTCTTTTAATAAAATAAATAGAATTTTAAAACAAAAGGAGATGAACAAAATTTCAAAGATAGAAGATTAGAATTATCTAATTATATATTAGGATATTGGATTCCAGGATTTACAGGTTACACCAGCTCTTCTCCTAGCGACATATATAAGACCTGCATTACTTAATTAATTCTATTTTAACTATAATTAGAAACTATTTACCATTACACATATTAGGGAAAAAAAACAAACTTGAAACTGCCTTGGCATCTTCTATCTCAGTCCCTCAAAACCTTCTCCTTCCTCACATGATTCCTCAGTATCCCTGCAAAAACCACATGATATTCATAGAAAAAAAAAGGTTAGAAAATTAGAAAATAACTAATAAAAGAAAATATACTTTAATTTTCTAACTTGGAAAGTTTAATTTGTACATGTTCTTGGTAGCTGAAATATTTTGCAGGGTTTTTTTAATGAAAATATTTAGATTTTTAAAAAAAAATAAGTATCTTTTTTATTTTCTATGTTTTGTGATGGATGAGTAGAAAACAAACAAAGGATAAAACAAAGAAAGAAAGAAAGAGAGGTTAAAAATATAAATAAACTGACTCTGTAATCCATTACTTGAAACACCAAATAGATTAAAGTAACTGGAATAAGATGCAAAGTCCAAAAAAAAATCTAATAATTTGAGCGTGAAACTTTTAAGCTTGAGGTCTCAGATAAAAAATTAAGTACCTTGAGGTTTGCAACTGGGAGGATCTTCAAAGAGGGATAAAGAGAGCTGTTTGTGGGCAACACCAATGTCAAACAGAATTAGACCAGATTTGGGGTCATCAACAATGATGTCCTTAACAGGGAGCCAGAGGAAGAGCTCTTCCTGGATCAAACCCACAACTCCCATGAGGCTACCATAGGTGAGGTTAGCCCTAACCACACTGTCAAAGAAAACCCTGTTCTCAAATTTGGTCAGGCATGGTGCATCAAGGAAAACCTCCAGTGTCCCATTTTCTGACAGCGTGTAGGACTTCACTTCCCTTGGGAGAAGACCTGCTGGTAACCCTCTGGAAACAAGTAGGTCATGAATTGAAGAAGAGGAAAAACAGAGAGGAAGAAGAAAACAGAGGAATTGTGTTGTCAAAAAGACTCTGGCTTTGTTGTTAGAGAATTCCATCTCCTGGTTGGCTGCAGAGAAAGAGAAAGAAAAAGAAAGTTTTAAGGAAGGGGAGCTGGAGGAGAGAGGGGATGGGAAGCGGAAAGACTGTTTAAAAAGGTCTGTGAGCTGTGCAATTTCATTTTTGTACATTATTGGTGACATGGGACCCTGCTTAGGGGCTTAATTAAGTGCCATTCGTAACGGACTCACTTAATGAACATTGATTGGATCTAGAGCTCCATCTGAAAGGATTTGGAGGCTAGTTTAATGTTTTGTGTTAATTGAATGAAGTGTGGTCCATGGAGCACATATTGCAATGTATTATATGTGGAATTATTCGCCTCATTCTCCGTTTTTAGCATTAGAGTTCTGCAAGATTATCTTGTTGAGGTTCATATGAATTGCCAGAATTTGGTACGTAGCCATGTGGGAGTTGTGTAATTGGATTCTTAAATCATTCACTTTTTAAAAGCCAATGAAACATCTCTAGATTTTTACTGAATTGTATACTTTACATTATTGTATTTTGTACATTTTATATTTAGATATTAATGTTTATTAATCTGACTCTTAAAAAATTAAAAGAAAAATATTTCATTTATAATTGTATTGTTTCATTAATGTAGTGTGAGAAAAAAACTATGTCAAAATTCTAATTTACACCTTACACATTATTGTTTTTGTAATCAATATCTTTCAAAAATTTTATTCTTGATCAACACCTTTTATAATTTAAATTATATAAAAAAACTTAAAAATTAACAATTAAATCCCCTATTTACATCTTAATTTTATTGGTAATCTTGAATTTTTTATGGATTTCAAATTATGTAAAATATTGATTATAAAAAAAAATAATATACATAGTACAAATAAGGGATCTAGTAAAAAAAATAAAGCAATTTCATTATTTTTTTAAAAAAAAAGTTATTTTTTTTGTTTTTCAATAAAAATTTAATAAAATAATATAATTTTGAATCATTTTTCCTTTTAATTTTTGAAAAAATCTGACTAACATACCATTTACTCTAATATTTGCTTCTGATCTGTATTAAAAAGATTCATTTATTTGTCAAAAAAAATTATTGTATCAAGAAAGTAACTCAATATTTAATATTATCTTAATAAAGACTTATATTAGTATAAAATAAGATTGTATCCTAAACATTTATCAAAACTATTGACGGCTCAAATAATTCCTTGGGATCTCAAGTTCGGGCTTTTTGCTTCAATAATTATTCTCTTTTTTTTTTTTTTATGTCTAATTATTTTTCTGGGAAAGGCGCAATCAGAATTATTGAGCCAGTAAAAGTTACATGTAGTTACATGAGACAAGTGTTAGCCATGAGGGGCATTTAAGTCAAATCGGCATAAAAAATCTAAGCTTGGATTTGTACTGTAGAGAGTACATAAGCATGTAACGGCTGCATCTGAGTCAGAAAGACACCACTCTGAAAGTCATTCCAGATACTGAATGTCAATCCACTATGAAACCTGGAAAAAAGAATCAGAAATGCCTATTTGTTAGTTTTTCATTTTGATATATATATATATATATATAAGGACAATGGTTAGAAATTAATATGTTAGAAGTGTTAATTGGAGGTATTGAACCCAGTACTTGAAAATGCAAACTACGAGCTACGCTTTGAAGTGGCCACGCTAAATGAATTTTTTTTAATATCTTTTTATTTATTCACTTTCTTATCCATACTGATGCCCTGTTGCTAAGACGTGAATAAAATTGTTCCATTTTACAATTTAATATTTATGATAAAAATATTGTAGAGTTTAAACTAGGGAAAATATGGATACACTCCAAACCAGCACAGCTAAGAACACTCTTCCGGTTCAATTGTAAATAAATAATTTAATGCTATTTGGAAGCTATGGAGAAGTTATCCTCACTTATTACCAAACAGATTTGGAAATAAGTGCCTCCCTTGTTCATCTTCTTCCCAATGAATCCAACACTTTTCCAATACTTTTCTTGGTAAAAAGCAATATTGAGCTCCTTACCTTACAAAATTTGTAGGTTTTAACCCCTCACCTTATAATATGACAGTTTTAACTATTTATCTTACAAAGTTAGTAAGTTTTAGCCCCTCACCTTACAAAATTGATAAGTTTTAATCCCTTACCTTATATTATGATATTTCTAGCCCCTCACTAATACAAATTAAAGAAAATAACCCTCACCTAACATCAGGTTATAACGTTTTGTTAATTCTGTTAATTCTATTAGCTGACTGTTAACATTCGTTAGCATTTCATTATAAAAAAACATAAAATTTAAATTCAATTTTATTTGTTAGTTTCATTAACAAAATGTTAACGGATGCTAACAATCAACTAACAAAACTAACAGTTAGCTAACAGAACTAATAGAATATTATAACATGATGTTAAATAAGAGCTATTTTCTTCAATTAGTATAGATAAGGGGTTAAAAGTGTCATAATATAAAGTGAGGGGCTAAAACCTACCAACTTTGTAAGGTGAGGAGTTAAAACCTACCAACTTTGTAAGGTAAAAGGTTAAAAGTGTTATATTATAAGGTTAGGGGCTAAAACCTACTAATTTTGTAAGGTGAGGGGCTCAAAAGTTGGTTTTAGCCTACTTTTCTTCTACCCATTTTTTACTTCATTTTTCACACTTTTCCAATACGTTTCTTCTACCCATTTTTTACTACATTTCTCACACGAACCCAGGGAAATTTTGGGGGCGATATCCTCTCTACGTATTTGAACAATCTTTTAGAGGGTTGTAAATGGAAGAGAGGGAGAAGTAGATCCAACCATCATCATCTCAGAAGCTGGCCAATTAGGTGACGAGGATTTAGGCAAATTCAAGCACCAAGTTGAATAGATTCAAAGAATCATACCATAAGAGGTCCATTAAAATTATAGATCCAGCATCCATTGTTATGGGTTTCTCAAGTTTCTCAATTTGCTCCACTTAATTAATAGATCTTCCTATGCCACCATGCATACAGATAATTTTCTTCTCAATTAGTGCAACAAGTGGTAGATTGTTGGAGAGTTGATTGAACCATGTCCATGCCCATATCCTGTCATTCTCCCCCCACAAATATATTCATAAGATCATTTTATTTTCCCACAGCAAAGAAATTAAATCACAAATTGAATATATGCCATATTGATCCCACCATTCTCTCAAGCAAGTTGAGATTCAAAATCAAAATGACATAAAAGAACACATAAATTAAACCCAGAGTTTCTTCACACACTCCTTAGCTGACAAGCCCAACACCCTATGCTTGCATGGAAGGATTCGAAGCTGATGACCACAATCAACCACACCTGCTTCTCCCTATCTTCAATCGAAGCATCTACGTCCAAACCAAAAGGAAAGGATCAGAAAGGTCGATGCTCTGCTCTCTCTTCTACGAGAAGACACATGATTCCACCCTCTTTGGTAACTAGAATAGATATTTTTTACGAGAATAGCTGAGCACTGAAGTGTTTAGGTCTTATACTGAACCAAAAAATTAAACATATTATATAAGGTATAATCCGTCAGGTGTTGACCGATGGGTGTCCCTATCGTGATCCTTAAACTATACATAATAATTAACATTAAATAAAAAAATAAGTTGGTTCCTCACACTTGGATCAAGTAATATATCACTTGATTGTTAGTAAAAATACTATTTTGGGTTGAATATTTAGCTCCTCAAGATCTCCTTCTCCATCCCTTCTTAGTATGGTAGATATGATTGTAATTTATTAAATAAAAAATGAGTTTAGTGATATTAAAAAGCTCTTTTTTCATTTAATAATCGATAATTTTGTAGTGTGATACAATTTGAATTATAAAATAAGATATTTTAATATTTAACTCAACCTAAATTTTCGAGGAAAAATGAAAATATAGGATTCTTGGTAAAATAATTACTAAGATACTTTAATAAAACGGTGCATTTCACTTAACAACCCATTTTTCCTACTCTTTCAAAAGTTATCCTTTTTTTAGTCAAAATAAGATTTAGTAGTGGTCATGTTATATTCTCTTAGACCTTTACTTATTTATTATTAATGAAATTTGCTTTCTCGTAAAAAAAAAAAAAATCTTAATTTTATATATCAGGGATCCTGGTTTGTCTAGAAAATTTTCAACCCTATAGAGACACCAAAATTTCTCAACCCCTATTTCTATTTTGGGGGCCGAATTAAAAGCCGAAATCATATTCACATTTAATGAGAGTTTTCGCCAAAAACTAAAAAAAAAAAAGTAAAACAAAATAAAATAAAAATGAGTTTTCGCCTAAACCGAACTTTTCATTTTTTTTTTTTTTTTGATACAGTGGAAACTAGAATAGCAGCACTAAGATCTAAGAACAGAGTTCCTACGGTGTCCCGTGAAGGATTGGCCTTATTCCTGATGGAGACTCAGCAAAAACAGTTGTACCTACCCTTAAACCATGACTAAGAGAGGCTAAGAAATCTGCAGCATGATTACCCTTACGAAAGGTCTGGTGGACCACACAAGTATCAAAGGCATTCATCTGAAAATATCAGATAACAATACTGAAACACTGCCCTCAACCCCCTTCCGGAGCTTGAATCAACTGAACAGCTAAAAGGGAGTCCATCTCTAACACTAGCTGTCGAATCCCAGGCGCGAGTGCTAATCGGAGACCCTCACGGCAAGTTGGCAACCCCAAAGTTAGCTATAAAGCTTGAAGCGCAGCCAATATCTACTGCGAAACCATGGATCCACTGTCCGCTATGATCTCTTATTAAACCCCCAGTGCTGGCCCTACCAATATTATGATCCACCGAACCATCAGTGTTCAGTTTGAGGTAAGGGTGATCCAGAGGCTTCCATTGTACCCATCTAGGAGTTCTTTGATGAGAGAATACATTTGCATTCAGAGCCATGTTGGCATCTAACGCAGGAGCAGTGGCTTGCTGATAAACTGAGTTTGGTGGGAGTCTATAATTTTCAAAAATCAGTTTATTCCTCTTTTTCCAAATATACCAGGTCAATGAGAGAAAACAGTTCTGTCAATCATCAAGTCTTAGGCTTGTAGTCCCCTGCCCCATTGCATTTCTCTTTAACCAAGTACCAAAATCTAGAGTAAAGAAATCTCGCGGCAATGAATCAACAAACTCCCATACCAGCTTTGAGTAGTAACAATCTCTTAGCAGATGCAAGGGGGTTTCAGGAGTTTGTTCACAGCGGGGGCAAACCGGGGTGGAGCCATATGTCTTTCGAAACGAATTGAGTTGGTAAGAACTCTACCTCTCTTAAGCAACCAAACAAAAATCTTAATTCGCTCCAAACACTTTAGACGCCAAATCCATCCCCAATGCTCTTGCTGTTGGGCCGTAGTTACTCCCTGAGGCTGAAGCAAAGAGAAGGCACAGATTTAACAGAAAAAGTGAAGTTAAACTCAGATGGCTCCTTGAACAAGTGCAAGGCAAGATTGGTAGTCAAGGGATACTCACAACTTGCTGGTATTGACTTTACAGAAACATTTGCTCTTGTTGCCAGATTTGATACAATCAAATTGTTGTTTGCAATGGCTGCTCAGAAAAGTTGGCTTATTTACCAACTGGATGTGAAGTCAACTTTCCTAAATGGAGAGTTGAAAGAGGAGATATATGTTGAGCAACCTGATGGGTATGTGAAAAAAGGAGTAGAACATAAAGTTTATTTGTTGAAAAAGGCTTTATATGGCCTGAAGTAGGCCCCGAGAGCATGGTATGGCAAAATAGATAACCATTTGCTCAGCCTGGGGTTTGAGAAAAGCATTGAAGAGGTAACACTTTATGTAAAAGAGAAGGGAGCAGATTTGATCATTGTTTCTATTTATGTTGATGATCTATTGGTCACTGGCAGTTGTGAAGCTATGGTGAGAAATTTTAAAGCTGATATGACGAAGATGTTTGAGATGAATGACCTGGGAAAAATGTCATATTTCCTAGGAATAGAGGTGCAGCAATCTGGCCAAGGTGTATTTATTTGTCAAAGAAAATATGCCACACAAATCTTGAACAGGTTTACAATGTCAAACTGTAAAGCTGTCAACACACCAATAGTTCCAGGAACAAAGTTCACAAGTGAAGATGGAGCTGCAAAGATTGAACCAGGTTTGGACAGAAGCATGATTGGGAGCTTGTTATACTTGTCAGCAACCAGACCAGATATCATGTATTCTATTAGTGTTCTCTCAAGGTTCATGTAGTTACCAAGTGAAATTCACTTGAAAGGAGCCAAATGTATTCTTAGATACGTGAAAGGAACTATCGACTTCAGGGTGATGTATTCAAGATCAGACGAGATAAAGTTGCTTGGTTTTACTAATAGTGACTGGGCAGGGTCTGAAGATTGTTGGCAGAAGCTTCTAATTCCAGCCCATTTTTTCTACCGCCTATTGCAAGAGGCTGTAAGCTACAGCAGCCATTGTGGAATATTTACAATGGTTATTTCAACCATTGTAGATGAACCTCATTTAATGAGGTAGAAAACTTACACCGGGTAGTTGGGTTTTCACCCTATAAATAGCATGCAATGGCAAGGCAATAGGCAAGCAAGCAAGAAAGCAAGAAAGAAGCCAGAGAGAGCTTCGGGAGAAAGAAAGGGGAGTGAGAGCTAGGCATTAAAAGCTTAGGTGTGAGTGTGCTCCATAAAGAAAGTACATTGAGTGATAAAATTGTGAGTTTATCAAGATTGTGATTATATCCTGGGGGAGTGGAAAACACCAAGAGAGAGAAAAATACTTGAGTGTATACTCTGTACAATTTTATCATATAGTGGAATACCTTCGGAGTTTGTCCCGTGGTTTTTTCCCTCAATAGTTTTTGGGGGTTTTTCCACGTAAAATTTGGTGTTATTTTGCTTGTTTATTTTCCCGCTTAAGTGGCTGGTTGAACGGCCCATTTTATTTATATTTCTTAAGTGGCTGGTTGAACCGCCCATTTTATTTTGCTTGGTCGGCTAAGCTGCCTTTTTCACTAATCATTAATATTGGTTGGCTAAGCCGCCTGTTTCACCGTTCTTTATTATTGTTCACGTGTTTTATTCACAAGAATTATTTTATTTTGCTGCGCCATTTTTCCCAACAACTGGTATCAGAGCTAGGCACTATTAATATTCACGTGAACAATGGAGGTGAACCAGAGCAAAATGATCACGCTGAATAGTTCAACTATCAGCTGTGGAAGCGGAAAATGGAAGACGTTCTTTATGTGAAGGAATTCATGAGCCTGTCTTTTCAGAGCAAAAGCCAGACAGCATGAAGGATGAAGAATGGAGGTTACTCTATAGGCGAATGTGTGGATTTATTCGGCAATGGATTGATGATAGTGTGCTGAATCATATCAATGATGAAATTGATGCACGCACACTATGGATAAAGTTAGATCAACTTTTCCAGGCGAAGACTGGGCAAAATAAATTATGTCATATAAAGAAATTAATGTACTAAAGGTACAAAGATGGCACTCCCACAGCAGACCATGTTAATGATTTCCTTGGCATTATCAAGGAGTTAGCCAATTTGGGCATAGACTTTGATGATGAAGTGAATGGTCTGATTCTTCTCAATACCTTGCCGGAATCATGGGAGAGTTTTAGATCAACAACAATCAACTCATCTCCTGATGGTCAAGTCACACCGGAAATTGCCAAAAACAGGATCTTTGAAGAGGAAAAAAGGATGCGGGCATTGGGAGTCTTCTCGCAACCAGATACTCAAGCTCTTGTCACGGAGAATAGAGGCAAGAGTAAAACCAGAAAACCCAGAGGACGAGGAGGACGAAGAGGCAGATCCAAATCAAAGTCCAAAAGTGAAGTGAAATGTTATCATTGTGGCCAACTAGGCCACATGAAAAGGAATTACTACTTGTTGAAAGGAAAAGACAAGAAAAAGGTTGAAGATAGCAATACAACCGATGTAGCATCTACCAGTGGCGGTGACGTAACTCTACTATGTGATCGTGGGGAGTGCTGCCATGCAAAAAACTCAAATGCTGAGTGGATAATTGATTCTGTTGCCTCTTATCATTGTGTTCCCAAAAGGGAATATTTTTCAACATACAAAGCAGGAGACTTTGGCACCATAAAAATGGGAAACAAAAGTGTTTCTCATATTATGGGAGTTGGTGATATCTGTGTCCAGACAAATGTTGGATGCACATTAACACTGAAAAATGTGCGACATGTTCCCGATATGCATATGAATCTGTTGTCTGCAAAAGCACTGGATGAAGAAGGATACGCACACTACTTCGGGAATGGCAACTAGAAACTCACCAAAGGATCAATGGTGGTGGCAAAAGGGAGAGCATGTTGCTCATTATACAAGACACACATGAAAATGTGTGGAGGTCAATTGAACACAGTTAAAGATGAGGTTTCTCCAAATTTATGGCATAATAGATTAGCTCACATGAGTGAGAAAGGATTGCAACTTTTGGCTAAGCAGTCCCTTATTCCCATGGCCAAAGGTGAATATGTGAATCCTTGTGATGTTTGCCTATTTGGAAAGCAACACCGAGTTTCTTTTCAGAAGAATTTGACTCGAAAAGAGAACAAGCTGGACTTGGTCTACTCTGATGTTTGTGGTCCCCTAGAGGTGGAGTCGTTTGGTGGCAATAAATATTTTGTTACCTTTATTGATGATGCAACTCGGAAGGCTTGGCCATACTTGTTGCAGAATAAAAGCCAAGTTTTCAAGTATTTCCAGCATTACCATGCTATGGTGGAAAGGGAGACAGGTTTGAAGTTGAAATGTCTTCGTACAGATAATGGAGGGGAGTACACCTCCAAAGAATTCAGAGACTACTGTTTGAAGCATGGCATAAGGCATGAAAAGGCGGTTCCTGGCACTCCACAACACAACGGTGTTGTAGAACGGATGAACCGTACCATTATGGAGAAAGTTCGATGCATGCTAAGAATGGCAACTCTACCTAAGCCATTTTGGGGTGAGGCAGTCAACACAGCAGTGTATCTGATCAACCGGTCACCTTCAGTTTCTTTGAACTTTGAAATCCCGGAGAAAGCTTGGACGGGAAAAGACGTTGGATACTCTCACTTGAGAGTGTTCGGGTGCAAAGCATTTATGCACGTGCCAAAGGAACAGAGATCAAAGCTGGATGATAAAGCCATTCCATGCATTTTTGTTGGATATGGTGATGAGGAGTTTGGCTATAGACTATGGGACCCAGAAAAGAAGAAAACTGTTAGAAGTAAAGATGTCATGTTTCATGAACACGAGAAAATTAATGATTTGAAGGAGAACAAAGCTACAGGAAGCTCTAGAGAGGGTGTAGAAGATTTAACACCGACAAAAACTCCTTCAAGAAAAATTACAAATGAAGAAGAGGTGCAAGCACTAAAAGATGAGACAGAGGAGCCAACAATTGAAGAAGATGAAGCAAGTGTAGATGGGGGAAATGATGAGCAAAGGGAGCAACCCCTGCCACAGGAGGAAGAACCTCAGTTGAGAAGGTCCACCAGAGAGCACAAACCATCTGCAAGATACGCCAGTTCTGATTATATCTTGATCACTAAAGAAGGGGAGCCAGAGAACTTTTAGGAGGTGCAGTCTCACAAAGATAAAAACCACTGGATGAAGGCTATGCAGAAGAAATGAACTCCCTACATAAAAACAATACTTATGAGCTTGTGGAACTTCCCAAAGGAAGAAAAACCCTAAAGAACAAATGGGTGTTCAAGCTCAAGAAAGATGGTGACAAGATAGTTAGATATAAGGCTCAGCTGGTGGTAAAGGGTTTCAGTCAGAAAAAGGGGATTGATTTTGATGAAATATTTTCCCTAGTGGTGAAGATGAGCTCAATTCGAGTTGTGCTCGGTCTAGCAGCAAGCATGAATCTTGAGCTTGAGCAGTTAGATGTAAAAACTGCATTTCTTCATGGTGACTTGCATGAGGAAATTTATATGGATCAGCCAGAAGGTTTTGAAGAACAAGGGAAGGAGCATATGGTT